TACATATATATATAATATATATATATATTAAATAAAAAAATATAAAATATATATCTTGTATAATTTTATTTTATATACATATAAAATTATTTACATCATTCGATGTACATGTAATGCCATCTGCGATCGAAATAAACTTCAATTACAATAAACTACCGATGCTCCAAGATAACTTTAAGAGCTTTGAATTAATCGTAAAGAGCTACAAAGTCGCATCGATAATAAAAGTCGATAGATGGACTACATCCTAATTCGGTAGTGCGGTAGTCTTAATCGCAGCTTAAACGTTCTCATGATATGCATCCCTATGTATTTCTATATCTTTAAGTATCGTTAGAGTGATGTGTATCGATGACAAACTGTAGAAACTTACAAAAGGCCTTTGTGTGCATTTCTGTCAAAGTGCATTTTCAATAGTTGCATGATAGCGTAAGCGTTTTCTCTCCGTCGCAATCTCTCTGCGCAACACATTGCCTCCTTCTTTTCGTATATGTCTACACTCTGCGCACAAGTAAGTACATTTCTATTTTCAATTTTCTTATTTTCGCTTATCTAAACACCAAAAAAAACTAGACGTACGTAAGTTACTGTTCTGGAAATATAAAATGCTGACTTTATAAGTAATTTTGGCAGGTGAACAGGATTACGCGTATCGATGTATCCTGTAGAAATTCTGGAAATAGTTAGCTGAGTGAAACTGCTTTATGTCTTGCCAAAAATACAAAAAAAAAAAATAAGTAGCTAAAAGATATCCAAGGAACGTTGAAAAAAATTAGAACGTTCTACGGGTATCTTTGCGCGACACATTCTTTAGACATTTTTTATTTCCTGCCCAAACAACACAGAAGTAAGGAGAAACCTCTCGTAAATATCTTCGTACCTTTAGATTAGATACTTTTTGTTGCTGGATGTTGCGCTATTCTTTCTTGTATATATATATATATGTGTGTGTGCTTTTCTCTTTAGCTGTGTTATCTCTGCCCCGATTATTATATTACTGAATAATAATAACGCTTATTTCGCTTATCTACTGTTTCTTTCTCAACTTTCGTCTCGAGTGTGAGTCGCAAGAGTCGATTCCATGACAGGTCCATTCGGATGACACTGAACCGCCGTGTGTTGTGATTGCGAGTGTGCCATCGTGGCGTGTGTGTCTTCACTCGCGTGGAGAGGATCAAATTCTCGCCACGTCCAGAAAATGTCCCGTGTATATTTCTTATTTCTCTTCTGTGCTATTCGCTACAATAGAGGAATCGGCCAAGGTAAAGTTTCCTAGTAAAGACCTTTCCCAAAGGAAATGAAAATAAAAAGAACTAATGCGCGATGTGAATAATACAGAGGGAAAAGATATTTGGCAATTGTAAAATGCGAAGTAACTCGAGCGTATTGAAAGCACATTTTCTTTTATTCTTACTATAAATAATATAATATTGGAAAAAAACCTCTCTGAAAATTGCATTTTAAAAATGTGATGTTATCCGTCGGCACGCTTGTGCGCTTTTATATTAAAATACTTCGAACACGGATATTCTCTCGACATCTGAATTTTTGAGCCCCTCCGCGCGCACCGCGAAATGCGCGAGCAGTTTTATAAGTGAATGAAAGATTATTGAATATGTATGCCGAAATGGGAAAACGGGGAAAACCAAGTAAGAAGATTCGCAGGCGGAGACGATTACGATATCTCAGCCGAGCTAAGAGAGAATTCGGAAGAATAATCTTTCATTCTTGAACGAAAGAGCTGCTAACAGCATTGCGGCCTAGTTATTTCCGTGACTAATCGCCTTCTTTTTGTATTCTTTCTTCGGGGGATTTTTGGGAATACCTCGATTCAGGATCATACTTCAATTGCATCATGTTCATGGTGGCGAGCAGCGTCGTGCTGACCGTTCTGGTGCTCAACTATCATCACAGATCGCCCGACAGATATGTGATGCCAAATTGGGTAAGAAAACACGACTATATCGACAATTATACACGACTATATAGACAATTAGTTTTAAATAATAATAAATGATCGTATCAAATGATATACGTATGATAAATGCGGAGTGTATTATTAATGACGCGATGTTGAAATAAACAATGATTAGTAATTTGTCACCAAAGTAATTTTGAATAAAACAAATAACTCTAATAACTAAATAAACGTTAATAAATGCTGATAAATGTAATTATTATAATCGTCAAATTATTTATGCCTCTGATGTTTGTAACTTTATGCGTTTTCTGTCGGTTAGGAAATGTTTATCGTTCGCGCAATCTTTGTGGGCAGGATTACGTATGTATTACACATACTCGGAAAAAAATTGATTAAATTTATATGCGGTCCAATTTTTTTAATATGCCGTGAAAGCACGATTTGGTCGACCGTGCCGCAAAATATTTCAGTTGAATAAAAGTTAATTATTTTAGATACATAGCGGAATAAGCTGCTTAACTAAACGGATAAGCCGAGATTGCACTTGCTTTCGTCATTATTGTAGTGGCATTATATCAAATTTGTTATAAATTTAACTGCTATTGCTCTATAATTGAATGAGTAACAATTATGAAATTATACAATGTAATTTATAATCGCGATAATAAAATGTAATCATATAAATATATTATTACTTAGTTAAGAAATATTATTATTTTCAACAAAATATTTAAATTATCATAATCAAATAACGCAATAATAATAATGATCATAATCAAATATCATTCTACTTGTTTAAAGTAAGTGGAAAAGCAATTAATTTTCAAAATAATGCAAAATAATTTTGCAATCACACACAAAAAATATTTTTCGTATTAATTGCAATACGTTTTAATCTTTACAATGGTTATTATTATTTTATTTCTCTCTCTTTCTCTCTGTCTTTTTCTGTCCCCTCTTCGTTAAAATAGCTTCCTTGTAACTTTAACATGCTTTCGAGATGTTAGTACTCGCTCTCGGCCAGTCAATTAGTACAAGTTTCTTCACACAAGTCAACATATGTGAATTGTTTGAATACTCCGGATCCAAACAAGTACGCGGTGTTTACAAAATACCCATAGTATATATTTACACAGTACATCAACGTAACATCCATTGCATAGAATTTTTAATTTGATTTATTATTGCACTAAAGAAATATGCAGCTCGGCTATTGAGTTTAGTTATAAAATGGCATTTGTTTATAAAATAAAATCCCAAACGCTGAAATTACCGGATAAATATTTTATTTATAGATTTATATATATTTTTTTTAATTATAATTAAAAGAGTAAAAATATGCACATGCATATGTACATACAGATGTGTATATGTATATATGTATGTATTATATTTCATGTATGATTATCGAAAGAATAATTTTATCGCGGTACAATATGAGTTTTATCAAGAAAAAAGTATAATAAAAAGATATTACGACTTGAAAAATTTTCATAACTTTCTTTAACTTTCTAAAAATTTTCAAAATAGGAATTCCCGTTGCTTAGAGAAATATTGCAATTTGTTCGTAATTTAAATTACATATTGCTTGAAATTTCTTGAAAGTGTCAAACTTTGAATATGACACGGACACCGCTTTAAAATGTTATATCCATATCCAATTTCTGAACAGTTTCTTGTTCTCGTTGTGAGAGTCATGGAAATAAAGTTGCGAGGAATTTTTGCTAGAACGGCGATGCAACGTGTGACGTAGTTACAAAGTTTAATGAGGCAATAATTCAATGTTTACGCAGGTGAAAAAACTGTTTCTACAATGGCTGCCGTATATATTGTGCATGAGTCGGCCGGGCAAGAAGATCACGAAGAAGACCATTCTCATGAGTAATCGGATGAAGGAGCTGGAGTTGCAGGAGAGAAGCAGTAAGAGTTTACTGGCGAATGTTTTAGACATCGACGATGATTTTCGTCACGGGAACAGCGCTGCCAATCCTGCCTCGGGCTATATAAGGTACCAAACCAATTCTCTATTCAATCTTTTCAGGTCGTTGCGAAAATCCCAGGATGTCCCAGGCTTGATATGCATTTCCTCGGCTGTCCCTTGCGCCCTTTACCGATTCACAGTAGCGGCTGTTATTTCACAACAACGAAGCTATAAGCGGACGTTATTCGCGGGAAACAGAAATCGTGTCACATTTTAATTCTATTGCGAAAAAGCGAATAGAGGAAACCGGGCGTGGACATATAATAATCCATTGTGCGAACGATCGGGCAAATGACAACGAGCGCATCGAGAATGAACGAGACGTGCGAGACACGTCTGTTTCCAAGTAAATACACCCTGCTGTATTTCAGCTCGCGTCGTTGTTCGACCGGCGCTCAACGCTATTTCACAGCTCCACCGGGGAAAATCGAAGACACAGATTGCGCACACAGAATGATTACAGGACGGTACACGACACGTGTTTGCTCTGCGAATAACTGCGAAACGGGCAGAGATCTCCCGCCCACCCGAAAATCCGTCGGACGTCGCTTAACGGCCGCGATGGTTGTGTCGCCGAAATCGAATATCGAGATTTTCAAGCTTTGATAAACGCCACGACTCAATCTACCGAACCCGGATTTCCGTGTTTTCCCACGAGATCTCTTCGCGGCTTTTTTTCCCTTCACCAGTATCCGTTAACAAAATATTCCATCCTAAAATTTTTTTCCCGCCCGACCCTTCAATAAACGCTTCTGGTTTTCCGGACGATTTTCATCGGGCAATCCGTTTTTTCCTTCATCTCTTCTTCGCTCCTCTTTGTCACGTCGCTATGAGAACTCGATAACAGAGCCGAACTCTATATAATATATTGGTCCAATTCGTATGCATATGATGGAACGATTATCTTAATATTGTCAAACCGTTTATTTGAATTGTTGAGAAAATAGATTAAGATATTTATTGAATTTTCGACCGAGAAATAACATTTTATAAGCATAGAGGAAACTAATTTCTGGATTTTAACAGCTATAATTAATATTTTATTAAAAAGAAAAGTTTTTATAAATTTCTTCCTATAATTCGAATTGCAAGTATAAATTGCCGAAATTTATAATCATTTCCCTCCGAATATAAAGCAACCTGTATCGATGCTCAACGCTCATATCGCTTTTATCGTTAAAATAGGTCACATGATCAAAGTTGCCACAGACTAGTGAACTTCGAATAGATCACTTTTGATCACATGATTTATTTTGACCCTGAAAATGAACGTCAAGCGTCTGCGGAAAAAGGCACTTCACAGAGAGTATTTATCATATTTTTATAACCGTTATGACACATAAATATTTTATATTAACTTGCATGTTGAGAGGGAGATCATATTATATATATATATATATATATATATATATATATATATATATATATAGAGAGAA